TGTCAATTTGTAATCAAATATACATCAAACGTTTAGGATTAAACTATATCAAGCCCAATCAAAACGGATTTTTTTCTCAAATTTAGCTGAATTATTACAAGTCCTAGTGCGCAAAATATTTTAACTGCTGTCAAATAATTGGAATTGAAAAAAAAATCCCCATGGCTACACAATAACAGGATATAAATTCAAATCCCATAGAAACAGGTCACAACAGGGACAGATTAGACACAAAAACAAAAGCAAAGACAATTAAAAACAAAAACAAAAAAATGTGGAGCCAGTTTCTCCGAGAATATAAGCCTATCTTGTCAGAGCATATGAAATCCGTAGCGCTGTTTTTGTTAAACCCAGGGGTGTGATGTGTGATCGTCATCAAACGTCTAAGGTGCATTAAAGATGTGTTTTAACCACATTGGAATCTCATTCCGATAGTTCTTAATAGAAGGAGAGTTCATGATCGAGTCCCATAATTTATCATAGTTTGGTAGTGAAGGGATACTTATTGTCATAGTGTTGCTAAATGTCATGTTATGAAGTTGATCAAAGTAATTAATCTGCCGATAACGTCAAACCTGCCTAAAGTTCACCTCCCTCGAGCTTTCTGTTTGTTCCATCTTCAACGTGTATCAAGGTCATATTTCTATGAAAAGCATAGTTTTATGTCTCTTGTATGACGACACGTATTCCTATTTAACAGTGTTAATGACACTTCGAGTGTGAACACAGCTGGTATAGATCTACGAAAGCGTAAACGAAAAGAAAAGAAAAATTCAGCGACAGCGCACTACGACAAACACTCAGAACTCGGAAAAGGAAATTCGGCAATAGGAGCAGAGGACATCTGAACCGACAGAGAGATACGATAAACCCCGAGAAGACATCTAAACAGACAGAGAGATATGATAAAACCCGAGAAGACATATAAACAGGATTCTATAAACAGAGAGAGAGTTATAATTAACCTGGAGGAGACATCTTAACAGCCAGAGAGATATGATAAACCCCGATAAGACATCGTAACCGACAGAGAGATATGATAAACCCCGAGAAGATTTCTAAACAGACAAAGAGATATGATAAACCCCGTGAAGACATCTTAACAGAGAGAGAGATATGATAAACCCCGAGAACACATCTAAACAGACAGATATATGATAAACCCCGAGAACACATCTAAACAGACAAGGAGATATGATAAACCATTGAGAAGACATCTTAACCGACAGAGAGATATGATACACCCCGAGAAGACATCTTAACAGAGATATATGATAAAACCCGAGAAAACATCTAAACAGACAAAGAGATATAACAAAACCCGAGAAGACATCTAAACAGACAGAGAGATATAATTAACCCCGAGAAGACATCTAAACCGACAGAGATATATGATAAAACCCGAAAAGACATCTAAACAGACAAAGAGAAATGATAAACCATTGAGAAGACATCTTAACCGACAGAGAGATATGATAAACCCGAGAAGACATCTGAACGGACAGAGAGATATGATTAACCCCGAGAAGACATCTAAACAGACAGAGAGATATGATGAAACCCGAGAAAACATCTAAACGGACAGAGAGATATGATAAAACCCGAGAAGACATCTTAACGGACAGAGAGATATGATAAAACCCGAGAAGACATCTTAACAGACAGAGAGATATGATAAACCTCGAGAAGATATCTTAACCGACAGACAGATATGATAAACCCCAAGAAGACATCATAACCGACAGAGAGATATGATAAACCCCGAGAAGACATCTTAACCGACAGAGAGGTATGGTAAACCCCGAGAACACATCTAAACCGACAGAGAGATACGATAAACCCCGAGTAGACATCTTAACCGACAGAGAGATATGATAAACCCCGAGAAGACATGTTAACAGACAGATATGATAAACCCCGAGAAGACATGTTAACAGACAGATATGATTAACCCTAGATGATCAGAAAACTATACTGCACAACATGCAACAACAATCCTAGTTTTCTCTTCACAACTATAGAAGTACTACGTCACCAATGATATCAGACGTAATGCTTAAGTCTATACTCCCAGAGGTCACTGAAATCTAATAGTGACGTCCAGAAAATGTCCCAACTGTAGTTTAAAGCCTCTTGGGAGCCAGATCCACAAACTTTCCTTAACTTATGGGAACTCCTGTGCTTCATTCTTTTCCATAAATATATCTATATATATAGAATAAAAACATAAATCTTTCAGATCGTCCGCTAGGCCTTTCTGCCTTCTAGGGCTTCTTCATATTATATATATATATATCCTTCATTAACCATTTATCGTTAACTTCTGTATTTCTGTGGAAAAGTTTGAGTTTAAGTTAGGAATGTCTGGAGGTTAAGGAACGTTTATAAAACTATGATTGGGATCATGTAGAAGAAATCATTTATTGGTTATCAAAAGTACCTAAACCAGAACTCATCAATTTTCGCCCTGCCAAACCTTCGCCCTTTGTCCAAGAAATAAATTTTCGCCCAGTCTTAATTTCACTCTACACATTTAATAACTATGTAAATTATATTGTTTGTCATATTTGCTATAATGAAAAAATCGTCCTCACTATAAATGGCGAAAATTTATCTGCACAGTTTTTTTTCTGGTATTCAGTAGCCAATTAGTTGTAACGTGTAAAGTTCATAAGCAGGACAAGCTTCCATGATTGTCATGGAGTTAGGTAGTGGGGTTGGGGTTTGGAATGTTACTACTGAGGACATGAAAGTTAACATGGAAGTAATTTCGTCACGTTTTCATAGAGTTTTGTAGTGAAATGGGGGTCTGGAACGTTACTAACGAGGAAAGAAAAGTTAACATGAAAGTAATGTCGTCACATTGTCATAGCGTTTGGTAGTGAGATGAGGGTCAGGGCCCACTTGTATAAAACATCTCAAAGTTAAGGAAAATCTCAAGCAATGTATTATCTATGGTAAATCTTAGACTTGAGGAAATCTCAAGAGTTGAGATGTTTTATACAAGTGGGCCCTGGAAAGTTACTAACGAGGAAAGGAAAGTTAACATGAAATGAATGCCGTCACATTGTCATAGCGTTTGGTAGTGGGATGGGGGTCTGGAACGTTACTAACGATGAAAGGAAAGTTAACATGAAATGAATGGCGTCACATTGTCATAGCGTTTGGTAGTGGGATGGGGGTCTGGAACGTTACTAACGAGGAAAGGAAAGTTAACATGAAAGGAATGTCGTCACATTGTCATAGCGTTTGGTAGTGAGATGGGGGGCTGGAACGTTACTAACGAGGAAAGAAAAGGTAACATGAAATGAATGCCGTTACATTGTCATAGCGTTTGGTAGTGAGATGGGGGTCTGGAACGTTACTAACAAGGAAAGGAAATTTAACATGAAATGAATGCCGTCACATTGTCATAGCGTTTGGTAGTGAGATGGGGGTCTGGAACGTTACTAACGAGGAAAGAAAAGTTAACATGAAATGAATGCCGTCACATTATCATAGCGTTTGGTGCTACTAATGAGGAAAGGAATATCAATAAACGAGAAATTAATATCATCATCGTTTATGATAGAATATGTTAGTAAGGTTTTTGTCATGTTGCTTATTTGAAGACATAATAAGGTACATAACACTTCTTAATCTAAGTTCAATTGACTCCATGTGCATACACAAGTAAAGATTTGATAAGGTGTCCCATGCTGGGTCTTTTTAGGATACATACGTATAATGCATACTCAAAAAATGATATAATGAAAAGCATATATTTGGTTCTATTTCTTTGCAGAGTATTGACTAGGCGGTTTAAACAACGGCATCTCTGGTTTTATTGTCTTCTATATCGACTTCTATTTGTCATTGTGCATTGTAGTTATGGAATTTTGTACTGGTGTTTTCTCATTTTACTACTGAAGTTCAAAATGGTTTTTACTTTGTTTCGTATTATTGGCTTTAATCAATGATCTTCGAGCAGCACGTTAATGAATTCTGTTTGAATGCCTTACACGACATGTTTAATAGTATTACAGTTATATGTATGATTAATTGTGAAGGTTATTGTTTGTATGACCAGTTGCGATATGATGTGAGCATCTTATTTCTCTGAATCGCGTTAAGTGACCTATCATATAAGGTACTATACAATGTTTTATTTAATTATTATATAGTTTATATTTCCCTGTTTAACTTTTTAAGTTATAAGAAATAAAGTGGCCATAAAATAAATTAGTCAAGACATATCTGTATAAAAACATAATATGTTTTTTAAGCGTTAAGCATGTAATTATCATCAAGATATCTCAATGAGTACAAGGTTTGTTGTCTATCATAAGTTAATGTCGAGTAGTGTTAACAAGCAGTGCTCCTTTCACTTTCATGTCGGCAATTATCAGCTACAGAATAATCGTCCAGTTTGGGTTATTTTCAATTTTACTTGAGTGCTTCATATGCTGTAAGCTACAATACTGACCCTGTATTCATGAAAATACTCTCATGCTCAAGCAAAGGTTCTGTGCTCAAACCAGCTTTCTTGTAACTCACATAGATCATGCCAATGGTCAAAAAGTCAAGTGTAAACATTGAAACAGTATTTGTCTTTAAGTCTCTTCATTTTCCCCCCAAATCATTGACAAAGTTAGATTTTTCTTTTATTAAATTATAACGGGAACAAGATATAAGGCTTGAGCACAAAGTCATGCTTGAGCATGAGAACGGTTTCATGAATACAGGCCCTGTTACAGTTAAAAGCTCTTTCCTTAACTATACTATTTTATATATTTTTAACGAATGTTTTGTATCTATTCTAAAGAATATGACTGTTGCTGCTGATATTCTAACGAATATGACTGTTGCTGACGAAACAGATTTATTATCAATTTCAATAAATGCATAATGACCCTGACAATAGCTAATGCGTACCCTGTTTCAGTGACTTAACAGTTAAGCTTATGTGAGTATACGTCTACATTCTTAAACAAATGAACATGAAGAATACAAATTCTAAATAAATGAAAGGCATTTTTAATTTGCGACATAAACCATCATCACAGATTGAGGATAAATATATCACTATGTTGAGATCTGATACATGTAAACATACAACGACAGTAATAACACATTGAGCGGAATGTGGCGCACGTAGTAAACAATCTAGATAAACATGTATCTATATAGAGCGACTCAAAAACAGCAATGCAACATTAACTATTTAATAACAAAGTACGTAGAGCTCTAGCAGTATTTCCCGTTAGTCTCCATTTAGACAGAAAGCGCGGGCAGCGTCCGTAGGATTTTCAGTGATCCATTGCTTGTTTTATTACATTATGAGAGAAGATATGAGCCAAAACATCGTGAGAGTTTCTAATATTTTATAGAGATTATTCAAACGAACATTATCTCCGTTTTGTTGCTCAATTGATGATAAAACACTTAATACCTATGCATACATAAATTGCCTCTTGTCTCTAGTCGCATGGCGATGAGACTCAATCAGTGTTAATATATTTAGTAATTGGATCAGGCGAATACCTGATCGTTCGATACTATCTCCACCCTACCCCACACATTACATAAAGCAGCCCAATGTCCGACAGGGCATCCTGGTTGTCGGAGGAGAATGCGTCCACACAAATTAAACAAAATATATAACTTAATATGGAATACGAAGATGTCATGTGATGCTTACTCGAAACTACTCACACTTTTGTTTTCATAACAAAATAAATTACTATTTCTCATTCATGCAAAAATAAATTATGGATATCCTCCCGTGTCTGTTAAGTGCTCCTGCGTCTCACATTTAAATTCCAGAAGTCCATGTTCATACAATCAGCGTCGATGCTCATGCCTTCTGTATCCATACACAGGTTAGCGCACTTTTCGCCACTGTAACTATGACCATATCGCAGCACGCACGAGACGCAGTACTTCCGGCAGATATGGACGGTTTCTTTTGAGCGCTTGTCCACGTCAAATCCCGTCTCACATGACGATTCTATACTTTTGCCATTCGTTTCTCCACACACCTCTTGACACATTCCTTCGTTAAATCTGGAGCCGAACTCATTTGAGCACTTGGTACAAGTCGTCAGGCACATTCCGTAAAGGGACATTCCGGAGGTAAATGAAACTGCACACATTGTAACAGCCAGAGCTGTCAACCACAACAGTTTCGTATCCATATCTGGAAAAACAAAGCATGAAATACATTAGAAAATATTCTACTTGTTTTAAATAAGATAAACATAAGTTCATATGAGATTTATGAAACGAGTCAAAGCTCCCATGAAAAATTCGTAACGAGTTTCATAATGAACACGAATGTAGGTTCATTTTTTATCACACAATCAAGATTTGTGGCAATTATTCGTGTAAAACGACAATTTGTATGCAGCCTTAAAATGTAAAAAGACATCATTTTGACTCGAGTTCGTAAGTCTGTGACGTCATGTACTTGTTTTAGGCCTGACGTCACAATTGAAACAATTGAAACTTACAACCAATCACAGGGCTGATAGATCATATTACATGGGCTAGTACGCAAAAACTATGACACGGGTTTATTCACTGGATAACCCACTACATTATGTGATATATAAAAGTAATCCATGCTATAGTTTCTATGGTGTTGGAATGATTTTAATCTGTCGTTTTATTTTCTTAAATACTGTTACAGGTATGTTCCAAAATAGATCATCATTGTCAAGTATCATTTCATTTCAAATTTTATCATATCGCCAAACACCTTTGTCAACAAATCACCAATCATTATGTCATACTATGGTCAGAAATATTCCCTACCGAGGCCGATACCGCATTCATAGCGCTATGTAATATGATAACAGCCAAAAATACAAAAACTTAAAACCCGAAGGTTTTAATAAGTTCTCGTATTATAAATTTTAACAGATAAAAAGTACATGTATTTATGTTTGTTTTCAGAAAGAAAAATATCACACATATTCACATACAAAAGAAACAATTTGGAACGTGTTCTGGAACGAACGCACAGTACAGTATTTAAGTAAAAAACAATATATCTTTGTCTGGTTAAGACGTCTGTGTCTGCGCATTATAGGATAACGACCGTTAGGAAGATTACATCGGTAAATCACAGACAACCACAATGGTACTACAAATAATACTTCTCTGGGGAAAATGTCCAAATACACAGACCAACACAACGGTACTACAAATGATGCTTCTCTAGGGAAAATGTCAAAATACACAGACAAACACAACGGAACTACAAATAAAACTTCTCTGGGGAAAATGTCAAAACCCTCAGAGTATCACAACAATACTTCAAATAATACTTCTCTGGGGGAAATGTCCAAATACATAGACCGACAAAGAGGTATTACAAATAATACTTCTGGGGGAAATGTTCATATACACAGACCAACACATTGGAACTTCCAATAAAATATTTTTTTAAAGGAAAATGAGCTAAATCAAACAACGTTTTACTTTAATGCACAGTGCTTAAGACGAATGTCTAAGTATATTGTTTGGATTTTTTTTATTTATTTTTTATTCGATTTTAATTTTCATATATTATTTCACTATCAAAACATATGATATAATAATTTTACTTCATTTTATTTGTTTTAAAGTAATCATGATGACTTGTAGTTTTACAATGTAACGTGAGATAAAGTTGTTATCATCTGTAACCGAACGTTTTTCAATATTTTGATTCAATTTTATCGCCGAGTGTAAAATCGTCACTCGGTAATGTAGGCATCAGTAAAAACAAGATTAGATTATATATATATACGTTTTGGTTTACCATGGTTACTTGGGAAATGAACTAATTGTAGGCAATAACGTAGAACCGATAATTTATATAACACTAGCATGAATGCGTTCTGATCGAGGTTCAGATCAACCTATACAGAATTAACTTAGGCTGGACATAAATTGTAATGTTGCAGTCATAATAGAAAGGAAATTATATATTCTTATTTTTAAACTCGCGTCAATCATATTGCTGCATACAATTGTTATCATGTTTAGTAAGTTGTGTGCATTGCAGCTTGTATGTATTATAACAGAGAGCGAGAGTGTATTACATTATATAACTACAGCCTGCTTACTACTACTACTGGGGTAAAGCAAAATAAAAACACCGTTAGCCCACACAGACAAAATCGGAACTGAACAACGATACTAGACCAGATCAGGAAATCAGGAAATAACGAGGCAAAATAAAACAAAAGGGAAGACAACATCAGGAAATAATTACAATAAGTCACCATTAACATCTTATGAGCTAGAAAAAAGGCATTTCCCCGTTAGATACATAAACCACATATCGTCCAGAAGCCAAGACTATATAGAAACAATTGAGATATCAAATCGATTAAAGAATCATTCGAATGAATTTTCAATGACAAGTGATGACTGGATACCATGTTTATCTCGAAAAGGGTATATGTTGATCAGTTTTTACGAGCTGTGAGTGTTTTTGCCTAAAAAATAACGAGAAAATGATGAACATTTTTTACCAACCACCAAGAGTGATGAAAACTTTTTGTCACATACCGTTCCTATTTTATCCTGAATATCACATCCTTTCTATGGTTCCAACAGAGGGAAACATTATGAAGCACAAATGCCAAAATGTAAATAAACACTAACTGTGTTGTCGCAACACAATTTGACGTCATTTCCTGCCAGGTCAATCTTCAGAGAAAGACGTGGATTAGTACACTGACTATTGATTACGATCAAATATCTTTTCGTCTCTGATATAAACATGTTTATCACCGAGTCTATATTTATTAAACGGATCACAAGTTATAAAACATCCATGCACGTTATGGTTTTATTAAGACAAATGTGAAACAATTCATATTGTATTGTGGAATAAAATTGGTAAACTATCGTAGCGTCTACAAAGTCAACACGTAAAGAACCGAGGAGACACCAAAATACAGTAAAAGACAACAGAAAAGGAGAGGACACCAATGCTAGGAAATCCAGCAGCAGGAACTTATGACACTAGGAAACAATAACGGTACGAAACTCCTATGAATAAACAGCGTCATTGTATAACTGTCTTCCATCAGAGATAATAAATATAAGAATCAGTTAATGAATTAACGAAGTTTTGAAACCTCATGAAGATTTGGTTAGAAATAATAACGAGCAACTACGAATTTACACCATAAGATATTTAAAATAACCAACAACCTCACTAAATGTTACATGAGTATGTGGGACCAGTGTTCACTCTCTGATAATAAAATCTTAAGATTAGCATTGTTTTGTATAGAAATGTCAATATACATTATTCTATGACTGTCTATGAACCAATACGGCATTGATAATGATAAACAAACGGCTAACTAATCATTGTTTGTATAACTGCGACAATACCAGAAATAATTGTAACATTTGAAAAATAAAATCAAAATATCAAAATACGTTTTAAACAAATAACTCATATCTAAATTTCTATATCAATGATAATTCGGGAACATGTTTTAAAGTTAAAGAAATCATCTAAAACAAACCAATACGTTTTCATGTACTTACATGTAACCATAACTCCGGTCGCTGTGTATAAGGTAAGATGTGTGTTTATCGCAGACACTGACACACCGTACTGACTAGTAAAGTCTGAATGAAGAGGTGAGTAGCCTCGACTATTTATAGCTGCTATCCCTCCTACAGCTAAATAGGGGCACTACATAACTTAAATCGCCGGAAGTTCAATTATGAAATGTTTTAGCAAACAACATATGTTGATTAATATTTCATTTCCGATGAGGTTTGGCCATGACATTCCCTAATTGGTTAGTATTGGTTACTATTAAACGTAATTTGTATTACCACAAAACATGACAATACAATCCATCATTTCGATAATATTTGTACGTTGAATTATTTATTTGTTTCAATTTAATTGACTCGTTAACATAGATGATATGACTTTGTTGACACTGGATCAAGCCACTACGTCTATAACTATCAATCTACAACAGAACAGCGACGTATCATTTATATGATACAGCCATTGGGATGAAACTTCACTATTAATATCGTACAATGACTTGGTGAAGAAAGGACCAATTCCATTTAAAATATAAGTTACCATCATGCTGTTAGATTTGATATTCTCGTTGGGAGCTTATGGCCGGTAAGTGGAGTAGAAAATAGGCCTATATGTACAGCGTATATGTATAATAGTATAGCCCAGATTGTTAGCTCCCCTAATCACATCACATCGTTAAACCATTTCTAGTCATTCGATTACAGTAATCAATACTGTTTTCATTATCTTACAATTTCCATTATATTCCTTTATTAGGCCGTGACATTTTGCGGTGAAATGGAAATAGTGAACGTGGTGAACGCAGATTGTTGACGTAATATTGGTTTTATGGATGAAGATCAGAAGCTCCGGAATGTGATAAAATGATATTTATTATAGCACGCTTCGGTGATCTTACTCAAAATTTAAATAATAAGGATGAATGACAGAAGACCTATCTTTACTTTTATAGCAATTGCGGTAATAAATTAGTTTATACAATGACGCTAGGCCTGGGAGCGTTTCTATGTGATATAGCAATCTACGACATCATAGTCTCCTGTCACTTAGGGAACGTTTGGTAACCAATATTGTCTGGGATGAAAACGATTTTTGAAACATATTCATGTTCATACATTTGATATTAACCGCAGATTCGTGTCAGAAGTACTTGAACCTGAATCCATTCTTTGGGCCGTAGTACGTTGTCAATTTCTCATCAAAAAGTTGATGTTGATATCCAAATCTCATTGATTTCAGGAATACGTTTTGTTTGACTTACTTATCGCTTTCTACACACGTCATTTAACAACGTAAAACATTATTGCAACAAAATTCACACACTACTTTATATCTAACAACTACAGTGTTGTACAGCGTACGATAGTAGTTCTATTACAGAGTCCCCACACAACAGTTAGGTATCTCGGTGGGATCCTTCATGGTAAACTGTCTAGTCACGTTTACTTTTCTAAACCTCATTTGTAGAAAACAGATTTTTTTAACGATAAGAATGGTAATGCTTCGTGTGAATTCTTTGACATTCTCTTGTCTGAATCTGATAATAATAATAATAATAATAATAATAATAATCTTTATTACCGTCGTGTACAATTGTCGACAACAAACATAAGCTCTGTAGAGCTTTTATTACGACGCCGCTAAGGGAACAAATGTGTTTTTCGTGGTGGAGGAAAACCCACGGGGGGAAAACCACCGTGCCATCGGAGGGATAACAACTAACCCCATCAGACATCAGTCTCTTTTTTCCACCACCGCTGAGAATCGAACCGAAATTCTTGGGAGAGCGAGTGGTCTGAAGCTCACGCTTGATAGCACACAGTAGTACAATGACTGTGCGCGTTAGCGATCACGGATACCGAGGCACCCTAAATAACCATTTCTGTGTCAATTAAGTAAATGCATCTTTGACGTTTTGGTGAAGCTTTAAGTAACCACATAATTCATATGGTAGTAGTTCTGTTTCAATCAGAGATGTGCTCTATTCAACAATTAAGTACCTTGGTGTGATCCTCATCTTACAATCAAAAAGCAGAACAATTAGGTTTCGAATTATTATAAAAATAATTATGGTTTTCTTATCCTAATATATATGTCTGTTGGGATTTTGTAGAGAGATATAAAATACGATAGAAATGAGAACTGTCTATAGCCTTTGATAATTAACGGCCTGTTGTTGTCTTATATAGGATATCGTTTTAATTATCAATTCGCACTAAAACGATAAGTCTGTCTTCCTTTTTTTCTATCTACTTTCTGTTTCAGGCGGTGTCTCCCTAGGCACCTGTCCTCATATGATCCTGGCAGTTGTGAGATCGTTTAACCCCAAACAAACGAACAAAACAACGCCAAAACGATGAATCGCTGCATGTCTAACATAATCTGTCTTCGATGTGAATATTTTCAATGTGGAATGAATGGAAATAATCCTACATATGAGTGGATCTAATTACTAAACTCTCTAAACTAGTGTAATAAACATATTATCAACTATTTGAGCAATAAAGTAATTTATTTGAACAATTCAAATCAGAAATATAATGTTAACAGAATAACAGCATTCTTAAGATAATATATTTTGTACCGCCTCGTTAACGATAATACAATTTAATTTTAATATGTAATTTCAGGTTTTTTCATAAATAGACTGCACCCAATAATAAATGGTACAGTACAACATGACTTCAGTTCTATTACATGAAAAAAGGAAAGTTTTTGCTCCTAATAGTTTTGAATCAGACTCAAACACTCAATATAACAAAAATTAAGAAACTATCTTTTGCCAAATTAAACCGACGAGTTTTGTTCTAGACTACAGCTATCAGCTATACAAACATAAGCAATTATTTAAAAGGAAAAGAACATGTTACCAGCCTCGTAAGGGAAATTCAATAAGCATATTTCTTCTTTATTGCGAAATGTTTCTTATTAATTATGAATGCGTTCCGGGTAAGGTCAGAAGTAATTGAAAAAAGGTTCAATTTTGGAAAGGACCACATCTATATTCACATTACTTTAAGGCTGTTCAAGTTCAAGTTCTTTATTACTTTGAGACTTTCGACTCATCAGTTACAAGTAACAACAGTGCAATATTTACAGTGTATAATATAAAATAACATTACACAACATTACACAACATTACACACACTCACAACACAATTGCAAATAGAAACAGTATCATATGTTTGGAAAGCGCAACTAAGCTATTTATAATAATTGGGTTCTTCTCGAATTAACATTTTGTTAATCTTTCCTTGAGTTCGTTATTTCTTTTGTATTTTTCACACTCAGTAGTCCTATGAAAGTCGCAAATCAGAATAACATGGGCATTTAAGAATAAAATGAAACTCATCTTCAACATCATCTAAATTACATAAAATACACACCCGACGATTCCGCTCAATGTTTTTCTATATCTAAGTTATGACAAGGTACTCAATGGATGTAAACGCACACACATTGATTGACCAATCCGATAGCGGTATGCTTATTAATTTAAAATTAGTCCACATATCATGTTGTTCAGAAAATGTCATGTATCATGATTTAATAAATAGTATATGTTGACGCGATGCTTCAACTGCACATGATACCATGCATGTAGACGACGCGACCATGACGGGCTGGGTCTAACAGGGACTTGTGTAATTATTAAACGGCAAACGCAGAGACAGGTCGTGTAAAGTTCAGCTCGCAAGTATAAGCCGGGGTCCAGTAAGTCTGGGAGACGAAAATACCACTGTAGCTTGTTGAATTGCACTGGTACGGCTGCTGAATCCGGCTCTCTTTTCGGAGCCGGACCATCAATTACGCGTGTCCGAATAAGTGACAGCTGGCAGTACAAACGACCCCGACAATTATTCCATTCAGACAGACAGAAAAATTCAAAAATATTACTGCTTTAGAATGTCCTTCATCCAATAAATGTATAAATAAAATAAAATATTGCCATTGTTTACTTCTGTAGGTTGTGTTCATAACAAGAAACCTTTCACATAGTACGTTTGACTTCGATGGAACAAAGCTAGAAGTTTACTTTACCTTAATGAGTATTTGACTAAATACAAAACGTAGAACACAAAATAATTGATTTGATTTCTATACTCTATTGTTTGAATTACTTACAAAAAGGAATGACAACTACATTTTAGCGTTAATATAAGCTTAACACTAATTTTGTTTATGACGGACACTTTTAGAGGAAATGAAACATATATTGTTTGAACAGTAAAAGGAACTGACTGTGTGCATTCACTAATACTTTATTTCATAACAACATTGTTACTACTGGTCTCGGTCACATTGGAGATGGTAACTATAGTGTGTGTTACAGTTCAATTTCTAAAACGTAGAAAAGGTTTAATTTTGATTGCAAAACACCGTACGAATTAAACCAGGCATTGCTCAATGTACATGCTTGTGGAAAAATAGTTGTACAGAAACAAACTCTGAACGATTTTATTTTCGAAACAGTTGATATTATTATCTATAAAACTACCAATTGATTTTCTCTAGGACTTTTATGGTTTCATTCGGATGTGCATGTTTTCTGTTAGCTAGCAAAACCTGGAGAGCTTATCCTTCTAAAGCTCAATTTCCGGAATTTCTCTGAACTCAAATTGGGGGTTTCTTTACTAAGATTTAACGCACGTGACCTTGGGTATTGTTAATGCGTCATTGTCGGTACAGCAGCAGTACCGCATTACGCGGTCTTCACCTGACCATGGCTTTCTCGTGAGATTGGATTGGATTTATCTGGAATGTCGACCCCTTATCAGTTAACCACTAGTGAAGTAGCTGGGAGGAGCTTTACATGCTGTATAGACAAAGATACACGTGTAGGAGGTCACGCGCGTGCACCTTAACGCTACCGTTGTAATAGTAAAGCGGTGTCAAAAAGTGTGATTTATATCAATAGTCTAAACTAATGATATATCAATTAAAGTGTTACTATGTTAGTGTAAGTAACTTCTGTGTCATGACAATTATTAAGAACAATAATATAAACAAATATGACTCTCTCAATTTGGCGATTTTACTATCTTCTGAAACCAGTTAATTATGTTTAAATGAACATCATACG